AAACAAATCGTTTAAATAGGGATACAGGTGGACCCATTGCAACAATGAGATATACAAGTTGTTATGTCGAAAAACGAACTTTACAACTTTGGCGGGGGGGGGGAGGGGGGAAGGGGGGATATGGGTAGAGGGAGGGATATGGGAAGGGATAAGAAAGGGAAACAAAGGAGGAGGCAACAATGCTTAATAAGAAATGTACTCGTTATCTTGCCCATGTAATTGTAACTCCTGTGTACGGTATTTTCATAATAAAAAATTTTTTTGAAAAGAAATTCTCCTCCAAGTCCATCATGGGATCCAGTTGGTAGATGGTTATATAATATGCTGAGATGGATTGACCTTTTAGAGAAATGTACCAGAAAATAAAAAAGAAGAACTTACACAGATCACCCAATTTTTATGACTTTGACAATAAAAATATAGTTTTATTAGGAAAGTATAGTATATTTTTAAAATAAGAAAAATGAAAAATATTGACAGAGCTATTCTCTTAATTCAGTTTTCTCTTTATATACAGTTCCTCATTTGAGACAGTTTTCAGAAGCGATGCTATTGTCTTCTTCATGAAAAAAACCAAAATTGCAATATGCTTCCATATCAATTTTATTCTGGCTATTCTCTTCTAATTTTTCAAGTAAGATAAAGCAGGATAATGAGATTCAGTTGTAGTTACCCTCGAATCCGTTTCTTCTGTCCACATCCATCTTTAATTCCTGACATCTTTGTGTCTGTCATCACTGCCCTGTTCACTGAATACCTGAACTGTTGCATTCTTTTAATTTGTTACTTTCGAATTCAACTCTAAGCAAGGATCTGACTAATCAGACTCTCCTAGCTCATTTTCCTTCTTCATTCATTATTACCTAAGCTTTATGGGTCTTAGTAGATTTTAGGATCTAATACTTTTCCTTTTATTTTCTACTCTTCCCACACCATCCTACCAAACAATGGCCCATTAGTATCCCATGCACACTTGATTCAGTGGGCTGGGTGCTCACTTGGAACTCTTCAAAACTTTATTGTTGTCATACCTGAGATCCATTCCAAGTTGATCAGCTCATATGAGGATTTTTCTATGGTTTATATTTAGTTTACTTTTCATTTTCCTTTGCAAGCAGTTCATTAAGTTTCATTTGTTTTATTTTATCTGTTCCCTTTCTTTTCTCTTTCATTTCTTTTTAATTCCCTCAGTCTTAAATTCACCTACTAATATATACTCTTTCATTTCCCATCTTGTTACTATCCATCACTTTTAGGGCACTGTGTCTATGCTATAGATACCATGACAAGCCGTAGAGAGACTAGAGCCTTCATCTCCATCCATCTACCCCAAATGTGCATGAACTGGCTAAGAGAGGAAGAGTTGAATGAGCTGGGTACATAAGGACTCTGTGAGCTACAATGTCTCCTGCTTTCTAGCTTTTCTCTTTAGAATGAGTCTTGTGATATTGGTTATAGTGTTCCTTTCATTTTGCCTATGTTATCTCTTCTTTCAATATTATAAAAAAAACTGCTATACCTCTATAATCACTTACACATCTTGTATTTATGAATGCCATGCTTGATGAAGATATTACAACTGTTTAACTAATTGAAAGATAAGCTCTTGGAAGGATCATGTATTACTAACTTCTTGATAGCTCCAATGCCTCCTACATACTTTGTTGTAAGTATTTGTGTTAATTGACATGTCCATAAAATGATGAAATTTACATATGATGCTAAAAAGTCAAGATATTGCTCACAACAAAATTTCAAAAGGCAATATATGTCTCTCAATATCTTAGGCCTGTTTACCATTCAGCAGGAAATAACTTTTAGTTGATAGCATGTTCCCCCTTCAGTCAATGAAAGTAGAAAAAAGACTTCTTTGTTATATAGAGATCTTTCTTAAAATTGGTCCTCCCCACTCACCCACAAAGCTGTCTGTACAGGTATGTTCTGGGACATGGGCATATTTTCATAATGTATCAGTGTTTGTTAGAAATTATTCCCTTCTATCAAACCAATCACTTCATTGATTTGACCGTCATCACATACCTGCTTAGGCAGTGCGGTATCACTCAAAATATTAATCCAGAAAAAAAAGGCCATCAGATAACTTGGTTGGTTGCCAAGGAGAACGATAAGGTATCTTAAAGCTGGCAGGACACTCACAACATATTTTTTCTCTGTCCAAAATTGAGCCACCGAATGCTGTGAAGTAGCTCATGAAGCAGCGTCCTCTCCCTCTGCACATTCTGTCATTTTATCATAACCAGACTCAGCACTGGAGGCCTTCTAATAGGACTGAGCAATGCTTGTACACAACAAAACTCCTCTCTGTACACAGAGTGGCTGCTTTCTTACTTCCCTTAGAAAAAAAAAAAGCTCAGCGAGTCCTGGAGATAACTGTGGACTTCTTTTCTAGAAAAGACCCAGTGTGTTTAACAAGTCTGATCACGGGGACGCAATGAAAACCCAAAGGACAGGGAAAGGGAGTGTCTCTCCTGCGCTAGATGGCTGTGCGTTGTTCCTGCTCTCTGGGGTGGCTTCTGTGATTTGGTGATGTCTTCACCCCCTTTCTAGTCAACTTGCACAGGAAATGGGATTATTTGCATCCAGTTTTCCTCTGATGAATCATGGGAATGCTGTGTTATTTTCTCCCCGCCTAGAGTCAAAAGCAAAACGCACATCTGGCTTGTAAATCCTTACCAGGCCCCAGCCCCTGGCCTGCTCTCCATCCCGTTCTCAGTGCGGATTTCATGACACCTCGAGGAAAACCTCCAGGGGCCCCTAAACCACCGTGAGGCTTGCTACCTGAAGCCCCCACTTGGTTGTCCCCAAAGGAAAAATCTTTCATTATTACCTTTTTATTTCTTTTGTTTTGTTTTCTTTTGTTTTTCTCTGTTTAGAAATCGGCCCCTGGTTACGGGAGTTCAGAGCGAAGAATGCTGTGGATTTCTCACGGTTAACCTTCGACCCAGGACAGAAAGAACTTGTGGTAGGAGCAAGGTGAGAGATTGCTTATGTCCTCTACTTCCATGTGGGCTTCTCTGTTGAACTGAAGAGTGCTGAATAGCATGACTTCTTCCAAGAATAAAGTGCAGCAGGCATGGTATAAGGTGCGCAGCTCCTAAGAGGGTGAGTGCTCCTCATTGCAAGCATTGATGGGAATTTGACTGAGTGCAGGATCTCTAGGACCTGACTTGCTATGCATGTGCCTCCCGTTGAACCTCAGGGTGGCTTTGCCATCAGTCCTGTTTTAGATGAAGAATCAGAGACAAATATATTGTCCAGCGGCATGAGGCTGACGAAAGTTGAGCTTGGGTTTCAAATCCAGGTAGTTTGACCCAAGAAGCCATGTTTTTAATTCTTACTTCATTCTTTAGTGGAATTCTGGAGACCAAGAGGCCTTTGTGTATATCGCAAGACCCAAGATTACCTTGTGTGTGTGTGTGTGTGTGTGTGTGTGTGCACGCGCACGCGCGTGTGCGTGTGCGTGAGAGAGGGGGGAAGAGAGAAGGGAGAGAGAGTGAGAGAACGAGAGAGAGCGAGAGAATGAGAGAGAGAGCGAGAGAGAGGGAGATGGAGAGAGAGAGAGAATTGTGAGTCTCTTTTGTCCAAGGCTAGCTACTAATTTGAGCATAGCTCCACGTCTGGTTTTCTTGTGGTTTATTGGAGATAAGAGTCTCAGAGACTTTCCTGCCTCTGCTGACTTTGAACTGTGGTTTGCAGATCTCAGCCTCCTGTATAGCTAGGATTACAGGAGTGAGCCACCGGAGCCTGGCCCAGGATTACTTTTATGGTGACCTTGATTATCCATTTTCTAGTGAATTGAGAATTCAAAGGGATTGTCATTATCTCTGTCTTTTGTGAGTATTTGTAATCCTTTGTCAGGCTAACACCTGACTGTGGTTGGACAGTGAAGCAACTATAACATAGATTCTAAGTTGTTTTGCTGACACATGCAAACAAACTTTTTAAACTATATTCACCCTCATTCACCCTTCTTGTTTGTCCAGTCCCTATCTTCTGAGACCAAGCTACCTAACAGAACCAATTGCTCTTTCCCTGCACCCCTAACTCTTATGGGTCAACAGCTGTCATTGAGTTTCTTTATGTCATATTCATGTACTGAAACAATGTATTTATAATTATTCATCTTCCATCTACATATTCATTTTACCCATTCCTCTTACCTCTAAACCAGTCCCTGAGTCAGAATCATGTTCTATATTATGTACATAAGCATATGCATATATGTACATAGCTTTGGGTATGAATTCTTTCAGGTATGAGTGAACATATATGATCTTTAGCTTATTGAGGTTGAATTATCTCATTCAATGGTGTCTTCCAATGGTATCCATTTTTCTGCAAATGCTATGATTTCATTTTTCTTTGTGGCTCTGTTTATGCATGCACATATGTATGTATTCATGTATGTATGTATGTTTGTATTATGAGTGCTCTCTTTCTATGTATACACATATGTGTATTGGCTATAGTAGGCTGCATTCTTTCTTACAGATTGATTTGCTCTTCTCTGGTATGTGCTGGTTGTGGTATATGCTAGCAGGGCCCTAGAGGAGGTCTATGTTAAGTTTTTTGAGGAGCCTCCATACTGATTTCCATGGGAACTCACAAATATAGAGGTTTTAAACTAGCCTCCTACCCTTCAGACTTTCTTCTCATTCTGCATAGCACATCCAACATCTTTTTTTTTTTTTTGTAAGACCTACCTTCAAAGTTTTCTGGGTTGCATGTTGGTTGTTTTTGCCCTGCTCCTAAGCCTCTTCCATCCCTTCCAGCTTCACTGTGTTTTCATTCTCACCTCACTCAGGCATGCAGAATTATTTAAGCTTCCCAGAACTCTCATCAATGCTCTTTCTTGCCTCTGGGATTTGGTAGTCCCTCCGCATTTGAATCCTGGCCACCCACCTACAGCACAGATTTGTTGCTTGGAAAACTATCTTAAAGGGTGATGACCTGGCTGGAGACCCCACCCTGGTGATGAGCAGCTGCATTCCTTCACACACAGTCCTGTTGGCATCGACATCTACAGCAGGCATCTCCATCCACGTTGGCCCTTGTGCATGGTATTGCCTTATTCGTGACAGATGCCATCCCCTACACGGATGGCAGGACGTGTGCTAGGACTTCCTTCATGGTATGGTTATGTTCTCCTCATAGAAACCCAAAGAGATCTGTTGATTCAACATACTTATAGTCAGGATTTGACTTGTTCCTGATTTTTTCTGTATCTGGTATATATTAAAGGAGGAAAAGAGGTTAGAATTGTAGCATATTTATTCTAGATATACTTTGGCAATGGCATGAGCCTAGTGGCCAGCTCAATATCCCAACTCACCTTTGGAAAATAGGGGATTTGGCTCTGAACGTAGGTGAGAGGCCATTCACCGGGGAGGGGTATGAGTTTGGCCCCGTTAGCTTTGGTCAGCCAAGCATCACTCCATCTTTAAAGAATGTTGGAATGGGCTTTCTTGTTAGCCTTATTAATACCCCTTCCCCCAGTCTCTGGAGGTCCTCTGATGGTGAATAAGCCAGCATCTCATGCTTTGCAGGTGGTTGGCTTGGAGTCAACAACACAAGCTTCCTTTTAGAGATGTGAGAATCCACAGGGCAAATGAGTGTTTGTGAAGGATAACTGTCTTATGTGTTAGAGCCACTGGGGAATATTCTCCATAGAACCTTGTTCTGGGAGCTCCTTATCCCAGGGCCATTGAAGTCCTCTCTCCTAGTGTTCCAGGAAGCTTACATTCTGGAGGCTCTAACTCACATCTCCATACTGACAACTCAGCCATGCTGGGAGACTTGCACCTTCTCTGTTACAGTAGCGTGCAGGAAGGTGGGTTGCTTAAGAAGCTGTGCAAATGTCAAAATGAGCAGGCATAGAAGCCACAAAATTTGAGGTAAGCACCATCTAATTCATCATGTTTGTGCAAGCCTACCTGTCCATGTGCTTCTATGTAAGCACTTGATAAATACATGAGGGAAAAAATGGAGTATGCTAAGCTTTCCCAGCTGAGTGACCCAGAGCCAATTTCTCAGCCTCATTTTGTCATGTTTAAGGTTGGTTTCATAATTTCCACCCTTTCAGCTGCTGGAAGGACTTAGAGAAATAATCCATGACAAACGATTGTTACATTAGCAAGCTCCCAGTAAGGGAGCTGTGTTGAGGAAAGTTTAAATTAACCATGTACAGAAGCATTTCAGTCAGAGCACACTGGAGGGAAAGAATAGGAATTTCACCTAGGAAATTTAATGGGATTATGTTCAGAAAATGTGAAGGCAGTGGGAACCAGTTCTAAAACTTTAAAAATAGCTCAACCCTCAGAATCCTGTTTGGGAAGCTTTTGACTTAGTGAGAGAAGTTTAGATAACAGGTGTGTATTTCAGAAACCAGTAATGGTTTAAAAATATGACCTGTAGAAAAATAGAATGTTACTCTTTATTTTAGTTTTTCATAGTTAGCACCAGACATTGCGAAACCATTTGTTGGATGATTTCCCTTTATACCAGTAATACTTTATGTTTCTGACATTGAATTCAGTTAAAGATTCTTAGCACTCTCTGATAAAAGGAGTTCTTTGTGCTGCCAATGAAAAACATTTCTGTAGGCAATTTGTGGTTCAGTAGCACCAGAAGGTTTTTACTTGCAATCCATGCAATTTCAGAAGAGAGTCATATAACTACCAGGTTCAAAGTGCCCACTATGTTTCAGATTATTTTAAATACCTTTGCATTAATCTCCTACTTTATTCTGGTCCCTTCAAAATTTAGTAATGTTTGTGTTTTCTAGGAGTAGGTAAGCTTCAGTGTCTTCCTTTTAAAAACTAAGGTAAAATACTGTGAAATGCATTATCCTTGCAGTGTCTGATTTCTGTTTGTTTCTGTTCTTGGGAAAGTAACATTTTTTTGAATGGCCGTGTGCCTCTCCATTACAAAACTTACTAAAATCACTATCCATGCAATAAAAAACTCAAGGCATAAAAAATAAAAAGAATACATGATGGCATACATGTTGGTATGGATAATTATGGAAGTAATGGCGGTAATAATGCTCCACAAAGTTGATGTAAGTCGAAGTTTTGCTGCAGACAGAATGGTAACAACAGATGTAAGAAGGAATGATAACATTTTTATTTTGCTAATGAGTTAGTCCTGTGCTCTATATTCATTGTAAGAGGGGCAAATTGTTGTCATTTGGAGGGTGTGCTCCATTCAACTGCTGCTCCACTCGGCAGCCTACTCGGTCTGCAACCAGGCCAGGATGTTTACAAGTTAGCCACATTTCAAAATCCAAAAAGCTGAGCAGTGCAATGAAAACAGATGCATTATCAAGACATCTGTGGCCCCACAGAATCATGGTGAAGGCCATGAGGCTTTTTTGTTGCTGTTGTTTTGGGTTTTTTGTTCTTTATTTTATTTGCTAGTTGGATGTTCCCCCCAAAAAAAATGTGATTTTCTAAATGCAAACAATTTTAACACATATTTCATTTTAGAATGAGTTGCCTTCGGTTATACTTGTGTATTTCACTGTCAGATATTTCCGTCCCTTCATGTGATTTCCATAAGCTTATATATAATGTAGAAATGTGTATGGAGGTGCATCCTTGCCACCTGAGGTGCTTTAGGGTGAATGTCCGCTGTAAGTTCTCCCACAAATCTGCCCAGAGTTCACGTGGCCCGGCCGTCTGCATGAGTCAGGCAGTGGGCGGGAGGCCCATAGACCCAATACGTGGATCAGGTAGTGATCAGGCAGGGTGTCAGCGATCAGACCCAGCCAGTGATCGTGCCTGATCACAGGTACGCTGATTTAAGTCCCTGGAAATGTTTCAATCTAATTATATCCAAAGCACATTGCAAAATGGTCATGTTATAATACCAAAGTCACTTCTGATTGGGATCTAGGCTGAATAAGTCTCTCTGCACACCTGACCTGATGTGAGGACTGGTTTATAGATTTGTCCTGCCCTATTTCACCTGAC